CAACTTCTTGGGTCGAATGCTAAACTCGTACTCGACGTAAGCAATTCAACGTCTAAGACGTTCAGATATTGTAATAATTCGCATCTTAAGCATGTCTTTTAAAGAGACTGGCTCACATGCGGTCGTTAAAAGTGAGATACGAAAAGGAGCAAAAGTTCAATAGAGTGGGGCTGTAACAGCTGTGTCAGACAACCGTTGTCGTTCCTTGAAGCATTTGCAAAGAAAATACGGTGCCTTGGAATTCCTGGATATAATGCCGCTCCAAAAGCTCAGAATAGCATCAAGTTTGGGGTGAAGGTAGCGTTGTGAATCAACAGTGCGAACGTGGTTCCACAATTTCCGTTCTGGTAATTTCGACCTCGAAGATGACGAAGACCATGGGTGCCCCAATGAACATGACGACGACAACGAATTAAAGGCACTAGTGGAAGCAAACACGCGAACGAATAACTGTTCGAGAGCTCGCAGAACAGCTTGGTGTAAATGCAGGAACAATTTCCACTTTCATAGAAAGGGCAAAGTATGTAGACTGCTCAATCTTCAGATAGTCTGGAAAATATTACGTACAAATTAATTGGAACAGTGGCAATTGGGTTGACACTAGGACAGCGACTGACACCTACCCTCGTCATTGCGTTCATGTCTAAAAAATTGAAGCCAATGTACTTGCTCTCCGGCCATTATTTTAATTAATGAACATCGATGATCGCTTCGTCATCGCTCAACACTGGAACACATGGGAAAATGTTTTGAATTTCTAAAGCGACAATGAGAGTATGCTCGAGAGAAGCCGAAGAATGATTGGTCTTCGTGTTTAACGTTCAAATCAACCCGTTCAAAAAACTCTTTTCCATAGAATTTCGTGTTGACACTCTCACTGTGGAACGAAAATTTTCAGAAGAGTGTGTCGCACTAGTACTACTGGCAGCGCAAACTAACCTTACTGGTGCGTACATGTAGGTCTCACTTTGACCAAGAAGAGATTGGTTCTTTGTAAAGCACTCCAGAGATTCAGGGGTTGTCAATGCGATAGAGCATCGAACTGTTAGCGCAAGTCACCTAGTTATTGAAGAACTCCTTTCTTTTCCAGTACAACAACAAAGAAACGACAACTGGTTGACTAAAACTAGCACACTATTACGTCTGGAAATTGGTACGAAAAAATAACGTCATAATGCGGCTAGCTTGACCTTGCAATTGGTAATATATTGGCGAAATCTGCAAGTGTCGCTCTCTTAACGTCTTGTGTTTTCAACTAGAGCTGGTGTTCTATTTGCGTAAAAGCTCTTCAACTCTTGGAAAGATTCTGTGGCTAGGGTGCCTTGTAAGTGTTCACAATCACAGAACTTCTTCATAGAAGGATATCTTGCCTGTTAGGTGCAAGACAGCGTAGAGCTTACACAAATGGCGGATAGGGGGTTATTCAGTTGGGGACCAAAATGCCTCTTTTAGGCTCAGATAGATTAAAGGAATAGACTCCCTGTTTCTCTTTCGCCGATTTGACACATACTTTCTACATTTACGAGCAGTATTCATGCATGCGTGGGTGTGTGCGTTCTCCTTTGTGCGGATTGTATTATACGGGTCTATTCAGGCAAATGAGTGAAATCGAATAAAAGGGAGGTATTTGTGAAGCGGTTAGGAGTCGCCTCCAACAAATAAGCTCCATGTCCACTCTGGGAGAGAGTGGTAAGCAATTTGTGAGTGCATTCAGCACCCCTTTCAAAGCTTAATAAGCTTTACGTGGGCACGAAACGCTAAACACAGCAGAATAAGTGGGTCTCATTCACCTGGGCTCGAAGCAACCGCCGATACAAAAACGTTGGGTACGGTGAGTAAAAAAGACCGCAAAAATCTCAAAGACATTCTACGCTGCCTAAATCGCAAAGAATTAGAGTGACGATCTCTACCTACAATGCACGCACACTTGCATCCGAGTCCTCGATAAAAGAATTGCTTATGCAAGCAAGAAGGATAAGGTACGACGTCATCGGCCTCGTCGAGACGAAACGACGCCAACCATTCAACGCCATCTATGACATTGGAGAAGAACTGTTTTTCAGAATATGAGACAGCAAAGCAGTTGACGGCGTTGGTGTTCTCGTCAACACGAGTTTGTCCATGAACATCGATTTATTCGAACAGCAAGTAATCCGATTTGGACGTTTACGATTGAAGAGATTGGATCAGTTCCGGCTTTGACAATCTCCGTTGCTTACGCGTCAACATTAAACCATGACGAAGAAGAAGTCGAAGCGTTTTATATGGGCACAGAAAAGTTCTACAGAGAAAGCCACACATTCTTCAAGGTCAAAGTCATTGAGAATTTTAACGCTCCGTTTTAGATTTAATAACGGAATTTAATTGGATAAAGATGAACGTCTGAAGACAGTCGCATTGGGACCCGCGGATTAAAACGAAACGAGCAGGATGAGCGACTCTCTGAGTTTATCACGACGACCAGGACCATCCGTGATAACTCGCAATTCCAGAAGCCCCACCCTCAGCACTGGACGTGGGACTCTCCCAGTGGAGACTACCATGACGAAATAGACCACATCATAGTAAATAGAAGGTTTTGCCTAGCCGATGTCGCTGTCATCTCAAAATTTTACACGACATCAGACCATCGCCTCCTTCATAAAATACTTCATTTCCCTCAGAAAGGAGAAAAGGCTGCTAAATTCAAAAACGAAATCCAAAAACCATCATAAAGTAGGATTTATTCAGTTCATTAATCGGCTATTGGGAAAAAGCCGTTGTCTATAACTATGACGAAAACGAAGTCGAAGTATTCAACATGCACTTGGAGGAGCTGTAAAAAGAGGTCAATACATTCGTTAACGTCATTATTGGAGACTTCGTGCTAATACTGGACCGAGAAGAACGTCTGATGAATGTAACATTGGGATCCACGGAAAAGAGTGGGACGTGGAGAGTGAGCGACTCTTTGAGTTTAGCATGACGACAAAGACCGTTCACGATAACTCACAATTTCAAAAGCCACCCTCACAACGTTGAACGTGGGGCACTCCCAGTGGAGAGTACCATTACGCAATAGAGCACATAGTAGTAAATCGGCGATTTAATCCAACAGATATCGCTGTTATACCAAAATTCTACACGCGATGAACCGAGCCCCTTAATCCGAAATATTCTTTCTTCTGGACGTTAGAAAAAGCCACTAAATTTGAACAACGAACTCTGAAATTTAGCCGATACTCACAACGACTATCTGAAATGCTTATCTTAGATCTTCGAAACTTATCTCTTCTTCGGGATTCAGAAGAGTATGCATCGACCAGATGACAGATGAACGGAAGAAAAGGTAGTGTGGACTTTTGAGGATGTAAGCGTTCCCTCTAACAAGCTAAACCTTGGGAGGGCGTGTTCGTAAGTAAAGTCAAAGAGCTGCACTCGAGGCTGAAATTTATAGATCACTGTGTGGGACTTGAACCCAACATACTGCTCGAACCAAACCACCACCGTGGACGAAGACTGCGCAGGAGAGAAAAGAATAGGTATCACGCTAGGGCACGCACTCATCACGAGTGAAAAAGGGTTACCTAATTATCCGAGACAGTAGGTACTAACCATCTTGTCGACATGTATACTACATTTCCGAATTCAACTAATTCGTCTGAGCCAGAATAACAAGAGCCTCAGAAGCGACCTCAGTGCCATCGATGTCGCTGTCTAGTAGATTTGACTCTGTAGCGAAGACGTATGCAGAGTTTATGAGTGCTAAACAGAAACATAAAATAAACAGGTGCGCAGTAACAGTGTTTGCTGAGCAGAAGTAGGAAGATGTATTCAATCAATGCCGAGGTTAATAGAAAGTCAGACTTGGGAGAAACATAAAAGTTCTAAGGCTTTTAAAAAGTTTTACAGCTTTTATGAAAGATAAAATTTTTGACATTGATCAATCCCTGAGTGATATTCCATGCATTTCACTTCATTAAACATCGTTAGAGGTAACTGAATGCATATCTGCCCTTTACAGTGGCTTGGGGTACCCTACCGATATGTCAAGCCAGTGCTGCTATCGCTAGACAATAGTATCTACACCAATCCGGTACGAGCCATCTGGCACTAATTTTCCGATCCCAGAGGGATCGAAATGTAGCAACCTCAAGGTGGTTATGATTCCTTTCTTTCAATACACACTTATGATGTGGGTTCCACAAGTACTTCAGATGTACAGCGCTTCAGCGTCGACAACTAAAAGGTGGACTAAGAGGAAAAAAGAGTCTTGGCTGGATCAGCATGATACTCATCGGCCTACGGTATACACGTCGCGACGGCGATCACGGTCGACTTGCGAGGTTCATTGCATCGTCCTCCTCCACACTGCGAAGTTGTGCGGGCAGTTCTTACAACACCATCCTTGGTTTATCGTCTTTGCTGATTGATTTCATCACTTTTCATTGTTGGTTGCTGCTTCATCTTTGCATAGCAATCACACTACTGTTAAAGTTTTTTGTACGTACTCTTCTGATATCTCCACATCGTTTTATTGCACTAGTATTGCTGTATGTAAGGGTTTAGTTACCCACATATGAGACTTAGTGTCGCGGTCATAAGGCAGTGTGTGGCCAAGTATGGCACAAACGTGCTACTTCACTATAATAATTAGTGAGTGTCAGTGTGATCAATCAAGTCCTACTATCTCACATTACTCATTTCATTTTTAACGCGTTAGCTCTCGATCGATTGCGCCCAATGGATCCGCTTGTGGCCCTAAATAACAAGCGTGCCACGTAGAATGCGCCGACAATTCTGACTCGAAACCATGCATGCGTCGTTCAATGACATGTGGTTTTGTGGTCAGTGCTGAACGTATTATCTCTATTTTTTCCTTTGTTTCTATACTCTATACGTTGCGTGCCTTCTTTAGATCGTTACGCTCCATGTAGTGTTCCGTTATGACTTCGAGAAAGCGTAGTATATAGCTGGATGAATCATGTCCAAGATATTTGAAGCGAAAAATTTCAGAAGAAATGTCACAAGAGGACCGAAACCCAGTACTTGCTGACAGCGCAGAAGCAAAGTATGTAAAAATAAGAATTGCTGACCAGGTTAGTCGAACGACTTGAAAAATTTAAGAAGTGTTATTACTTTGCTCATTGCACAGAGCCTCCCAACGGTTTACCGCCTCATCGTGGCAGGGAGGTGTTCCTGGGTGTCAGGCTGTGATGTACAGCGGGTGGATTCGTCATACCGGCAGGGTCTCCCAAGCTGAGAATGAGTCCAGCGCCTCCTTCAGGAAGCTCAGCCAAGAGTAAACCAATACTAGGTTCCACCACCATCCTCGTATCAAACTAGTCCCATGGGGGCAAATCTTCCTGTGATCCACAAGGGCCGCGACTGCCTCTGGTGGTGACGATCTGAGGCAAACTTTGGTCAGACTGTCTTCGGAACTCCAGGGAATTGCAATGGCTAAGCCAACAAATCTCCGGAGAATTGAAATCATGCTGGGGCCCACACAACCAGCGAAGACTGGTTATCCAGGTTTTCTAGTATTTTACAAAGTTGAACAGTAAAAAGCCCTTAGAGTAGCGCATAGGTGATTTGGGGTTTTCTCGTTAACGAATGTTCTATTCAAATGTAACAGCCGTTCTATTTGTTTTTGAAGGAATTATACCAGCAGCATGGAAGGTTCTCTCCAGGCTTTAAGTTACTTGCTGAGAAAGGCAATTCGTTGTCTGTAATTCACATGACCTCTTGAAGTCGGTGCTCTGCGCGGAAGAATTTCGATATTAACAGTCTTTTCCAGGGAAATTATAAACCATCATCATCAGCTTAAATATCCCATGCCACATCTTGGTTTAGTATAATGTTAATATTCAGTAGGCCGGATATGCGATAGTTTGCAAACATTAAGTTGAGCACAAATCGTTTTATGAAACACCGAATACCACGTTTTCTTTGTGGATACGCTTGACTGTTAGTTCGCTGATTAGTCAAATCTGCATATTGGCAACTCAGCGTTAACTTTTATTTGCGAGTTTGTGCTACCTACTGCTTGGTTCAGTAGGAACTTAAAAATTCCCATCTGTTAGGGGAAAACCGGGTACAATTAGCAGTTTGATATAATTTATTATATACTGGTATGATATTACAAGGAAAACTCAGCACTAGAAGTTTCATAATTTGGCATGAAACTTTACTGTTCAGAAGTCATAATTTCAGGAGTCGAGCGTGCTCGAATACGAGGTAAGGGCATGCGCTCTGATGGGCGAGATCAAACGGGATTTCGCCCGTCGTCTAGGCATTGATTTAAGCCGCCTAAGGTAACTTAATGTTTTTCATATTACAGATCGAACCTTTTAGGTCTTGCTGATGCTTGGTATTCAGGCGAATTGGTAAATGTTCCGTTTTTTATAGATTTATTTGTGACGGTCAACTCGTCGTAGACACTGATACACCACAAGAACTTGAGTTGAAGGACGGTGACATGATAGAAGTGATTTCTTCATACAGAGTAGTATTTTGAATATATGGAAGCAGAGTTTGCGCTATTTATTTCTTATTAGATCCATGACACTGCGCTGAAGTGTGATTAGACTATTTCGAATAACCGTACATGTAACCGTAACTGCATGTAACGTTCACTGAATAATCATGTATATATATATATATATATATATATATATATATACATATATGCACAAATGTATTCACCCTTGAGTATATATATATTTTTAAAAGACTCCTGATGGCACTACCCTGGTTTTAAAGTCTCGACGGAAGGATTTAGCTTTTGGAAGCCACGAAACTATGTTTTCTTTTATATAATGCTGAGATATTTGCAAAACACCGGACCGCAGGTGTAAGGACAATAGCGCGTTCGTTCCCCACTGCGTGCACCTGCGGTCCGGCGTTTTGCGAATATCTCAGCATTATATACGAGTTATATTTCGCAACATACCCTGCCATTAAAGAGAAAAAAGCAGTAAATAAAAGGGTTAAAATTATGCTTTCTTTGTTTGTTAATATTTGCAGATCCTTGGTAGCGTTAAGTAAAGTCTTTGGCGTTGGTCAATCCCTGAAGGATAACGAGGTATGAAAGGGTTAGCTTGCGCGGAGCGACGTTTGGGCCAGATGCGTATTCAGTCACCTCCAGTGATATTTTGATATCGAATGCATAGTGCACCTCTAATGGACTGATCAATGCTTAACAGTTTTACGCTTTATGGCTGAGTTAGAGCGGTGCAGCTTTCTTCTTTGTCAGTATTGTTTTGCGCAAGATGTACTGCTGGTTCTATTTGCAGACCGACCAAGAATAACTTGGAGGATTTCAATAAACTTGTTCCCAGACCAACAACGGCAACATGTCTTATTTGTTTTCGTTGTTCTTGTTTTTATCTTTTATAAAGCGTTGCCTATTACCTATTGTGCTTCACTACATCACATCATTACTACATTGCAATTAACGTCAGAAAATGAGTGCCTGTTCTAATTTAGACTAGCACAGTAGATTTCTAAAGTTCCCAACCGTTTAACAATTTAACAATGATATTACTTGGAATGAAATCGGACATTTATGGATAGGTACTGAAGCATCAGTTTACTGTTGTCTCGTACATCATATGTAACGGTTTAGTACTAAGAATGATAACTGCGATAATAATGATTTGCGCGTGTGTCTGTGTTTGTATTTGTTTGTGTTTGTGATTTGGTAAACCTCTGAAATAAGTATGACGTTTTCATGAGAGAATGAACAACGTGGAATATTCTATCCTTCATCCTTCTGCTAACATGAACAGCCAGAAATTTGCTGAAAACAGAGGACCGCTTTTCGCTCACTTAATCCCTTATCCGCTTCCCTATGTACGCACCACATAGTGTGATAAGCATGAAAGTTGTTCTGGTTAACTACAACGCATTTAGAACAAATATGTGAAAGGAAAAAGTCAAAGATATGACCACGGTTTTGCACTGATTTCATGAGCAACATTGTACGAAGTTGAGGAATTAACAAGCAAATACTTCCTCATTCCCAGTTTAATGTACGACATTCGTGTTTAAGCCGATTTGATTGAAGTCCAAAGGTTTAATTTCTCTGGAAAACAAACAACTTAACAAGTAATTGGATATATTACATTTATTTCTGAAACGCTCTACCCTGAAAGTCATGTGATAATGTTGCAAGTCAACGGAATACGACACTGGAACACTGATGTTTACTTTCAAAGTTTGATTTTTGTCTTGTCGAATCTTATCACCTCAACAACATTTTTGGAATATTTTGAATAGTGAACTTCGTGAGAAGAGTAGCAGTTATGGTAGAAGCTGCGGAAAAAGATGTTTCTATAGGTTTCTCGAATCCTTGAGAAAGCCAGGAAAGACAAGCCACAGGTGCCTTCGGTGTGGAACGAACGCGCTATTAACCTTTCCGGTAGCTAACGCGTTCACCACCATACTATGCGTTAACCCCCGGAAAGGATAATAGCGCGATCATTCCCCACCGCAGAGACCTGCAGTATGGAGTTTTGCAAATATCTCAGAATCGTCTTGGTTGTATTTTACATGATACTCTGCCGTGAAAAATTGTAGCCACCCGCAAAATAAACGGTTAAGAAGAAAGAATACATATTGATTATTGATACCGAGGTTCAACGCAAGTCGGTTTCGAAATAAAAAGTTAAGTACAAAGTTAAAGTTAAAAGTTGAAAAGTAAAGTTAAAAGTTATGTAAAGTTGTAAAGTTAAAAGTTAAGTAGTTAAGTTAAAGTTAGTTAAAAAGTGCAAGTACTGCGCACCTGTCTACGAAGCAAACAAAACCAGATGTTCGCTAAGTGGAAGAAGTGCGAAAAGAAAGAAAACTATTGTGCTCAGTATTTGGAGGACCGCCTCTGGAGGAGAATAGTGGGTGGGTCAGTGTTGATTTGCAACTCTATTAGAGTCTAATGCTAAAATAGCTTTGCGGAAAAAATTCGAAGACCTTTTGAGTAAGTCGCATAACACGGCATCAAGAGCATACAGAAACACCGCCAACGAAGATCAAACGATTCACAGTAAGATAAACAATGTGCAAAAAAATTCAAGGTTGAGCGTGCTAGGAGGCACAACCCTCCCTGACGGTGCGCGCTCCTTATTAGAATTGGGCGGAGTTTCTCACCATCTGAACCAATTTCTAAGATAACCTTGCGTAGGATCGCATGTGGTTAACGTAAACTTCGAGATAGACTCTGCAAAAAAGCTAGGGATGAAGCGCAAAATAGGCGCGAACAACAAAGAGTAGGGGCAATACCAGTACCACCATTTCCTCAACAGTTCTTTAGACAACAAGAGCCCATTAATGAAGTCGATGTTAAATTTCGGCTGTTTACGAATGAAACTTTCAAAGTCCTAAATCACTATCGCGCTAAAAGATACTGCTCCAATCTCACTGAAATACAAAAACGTGGTATGCGGAAGAAACGAGAGCTGATAAGTTCGAAAAACATAAGACTACCGGTTAATGACAAGGGTGGAGAGTTTGTCGTAATTCCTCATCAGTTAGATGTGGAGATAACATATTGATGTTTGATGTTGATTGTTGTTGTTGTTGTTGTCTGTTTGATGTTCTTTAGCGATATTTTTGTGCGCTATTAAAGCTGTATTATATGATTTACTCAAAAGGTCTTCGAATTTTCTTCGCAAAGCTGCTTTAGCATTAGACCTAATAGAGTTACAAATCAACACTGACCCGCTTACTATTCTCCTCCAGAGGTGGTCCTCCAAATATTTAGCACAAAAGTTTTCCTTCGTCTCGCACTTCTTTCACTTGGCGAACATCTGGTTTTGTCGGCTTCGTAGACAAGTGCGTAGTATTCGCAATTCGACGTCCAATACTTGCTGACTCATAAGTTAGTATCCAGCGATGATCTCGTGTCTAACGATCCATCACTATTTAAGGTTAGACCTATCATTAGCTGCGTGAACGGGCCAACGGATAGAATAACGTGGTTGATAACCCTAATACTACTCAGTTGTTGAAGTACATTCCAGCTCATCTAACGAACACCCAAATGTTTCTGGATCGTCTGCGTAACGCGCGATCCAACAGCGCGTACGTGGTGGAGTACTTCGACGTCACTGCCCTCTATATGAACGTGTCCAATGACTCCGCTATGCAAGCCATAAGCGAGCTCCTTATACAACACGAAGAAGCAATAAACATGTACGGCTTCTCGATTCAGCAGTTGATGATACTTTTAAAGGAGTACCTAAACTGCTCAATCTTCATATGGTCCAGGAGGTATTACAAGCAAATGAGAGGGCTGGCAATGGGACAACGACTGGCATCAAGCCTTGCCATTGCGTTTATGTCTAAGGTGGTAGCGCCAGTAATCGATCTCGGTCCGTTACTCTACTGTAGATATATAGATGACTGTTTGGTCATTTGTTCAACAGAAGAAGAAATTGACAGATTATTCGAGTTGTTGAACGAAGAGTCAGAGTATATTAAATTCGCCCGAGAGAAACCAAAAGAAAACTGGTTTCCATTTCTGAACGTGGAAATTAGCCTATCAGAAAACGGCTACATTACCAAGTGGTATCGAAGGCCAAGTAGTAAAAATATCCTGGTTCATTACATCTCCTCTCACCCCTCTCACACGAAAAGGGTGCTTGTGTGAAACATGTATCGAACAGCTACCAGCGTGTGCACAGGAAGACAGCAGAGAGAGGAGTCCCTGAACTTGGCGCGACAAATAGCCATTTTTAATGGCTTCGAAACTGTAGCTCCAGATAGGTGAAGAGAAAACCACAGCTACCCCAACGATAACTCTAGCGACAACGAGGTCTCGTTTATACTGCCATTTATTTCAAATGAAGTAAGTGCAGCTATAAAACGCTGTTTAAGAACCAGTCTAGAGAATTCGGTAGCGATAATCGAAATACCACCGAGTAATCTAAGGCGCCAGCTAGTTCGTAACCGCCTATACGACCGTCTATGTGCAACGCAAAATTGCATAATTTGCCCCAATGGTAGGGACTGCATGAGTTCGGGTACAGTCTATCTGATCTCTTGTAAAGCGTGCGGGGACGAATAGGTTGGCGAAACGGGTAGACCACTCTGCGTACGTATAAAAGAACACCTAGTCGGCAAACGTAAAACAAATACTCCACTAGGCAAGCATAGGACGCAGAGACATTGCGGAGAAGATTTTGAAGTAAGGGTTACGCTCCTCGCGCAAGAATCGAGAACACAAGCGCGCAAAACTCTAGAGGCATTCTGGGTTAATTCCACGAATCCGAAAATGAACCGCATGGAGGAATGCCTCATTATCACGCGTGATATTGGACAATATGTAAACCTGTTATTCTGATGGGAGGGGCACATTACGCTTCCATGTGATTTCTGTGCGGTCGGTCTTCACACGACGTACTCAGTGGAAAACTCATAGAAAGCGGTGAGTGTGCAGAGCTGTGTTAAATGTGATTGAAATCTTGGCTTAGCGTTTTCCCTGTTTGGTTATGGAGGTGTTTCGCCGAATGGATTGCTGTC